ATAAAAGCATGAACAATCATAAGCATAGTAGAGTTGTGCTCATAGGATTGATTGATGCCGAGGCCGCCTCTTTTAAGAGGTTGATTGATAATCTCCCAATTGACCAGGAATGATTTGTTATTCATTGTTCCAGAACCCCAAATGAAGCGATGAATGATTTTATCAATGTCAAAATATATATATTCGTGGTAAGATGAGCTGTCTGCATGAAATAGATTGGTATAACCACAGACATCGACTTAGCTAAAATGATAATGAACTAACAAATAATTGAAAAAGATTTTTAATACATATTTTAGATTTTATTACTCATATTACATAGTCTGTTTCTATATGCTTTTGTATGCACGTATGTTGGAGGGGCATTCCGAATGCAATGTTTACGTGTCAATATATTTTTTTCAAGGGGAATGTAGAAGCTATAGCTGGTTTAAACTACGTTATTTTCAAAACGAAAATAAAGTTATCTCTGTCGTTTAACCATAAAGACATTACATGAATTACAAAGAAGCAAAAAGGAATTTAACAGGTACGGATGCCTTATGAAAATCTCGTTGGTTATAAAGCTCAACTAGAAATATATATATGCACACACAGGCCGAATGAGGACATTTTCTTTAGGTAGAACATGCTTGAAATGTGGGAACAGAATGCTATTCCAAAAGATTGGTTTGACTTTTAAGGCTAAGTATTTTTGTAATATACAAATAACAGTATGGGATGCTTGTATACAGCTCATCAATGATAGATTCTCTTTGCTTTGGGATAGTTAATGTATGTTACTGCCTTACTGGGTATAGAAGATAAGGGTAGGCTTTTACTGAAAACCAAAATGGAGGTCAAAAAGTTTGCCTATCATCTGTTTCTAATTTTGATCCAAGTTACAGTATGATGAAAATAAACAGAACTTTTTTTCCTGCAAATCCAACATGGAAGTGTTTAATGCAATTTCCCTGCAAGATTCTATCTTGTCTAAAAGATCTGAGAGCAGATATCACCCAAAGCATGTTTTGTAATTTTCATGTAAGATTCACTGTCTTCAGATGTCATCATGAATATTTTGGAGCCATTTGACTTTGTACTTTAGAGTGATGTATGCCACGTCGGGCACACTTTAGTCCATACATGCACTACAGACATAAGATTTTATGTCGGGGAGTACAAACTTACGAAGTAATATTAAAAATTTAAGGGTACGAGATTACAAAATTTCAGAGGTGCGAAATTATATCGTCAATAGAAAATATAACAAAAATATCTAAACTATATGGGGATTTGAAATTTACAAGGATACAACAGCATGCATGCAATAATAAGCTAAAACTTCAATAAGTATGAGATGTTGTGAAACAAAGCTAGCTGGGGGCGAGAAGTTGAAGATTACCATGATATTCTCTTGGCCATGTCTACCGAATTTGAGTCCTTTTTACAGTAACAAAATATTAGGCATGTTTTCTTCTTCGACAAGTTATCATCATAATCAATTAACCTTTTAATCTGCAGATGCAATTGGAATAAAATTTTACTAAAAGTCTAAAACCCTCCTTATTCTTGGAATCATTTAGGTATAATAGGTATTCCGCTGATGAAAATCAACAGTTCATATTCCCAATAAACCTCTCTTTTTTTCATTCTAACAAATTCAAGCTGTCGTTTAAGCACAGGGAGGGTATCTTTCTTTCTTTTTTCTTTACAAGAAGAACATTTACTTTAGATGCCCAACTGTGTTAAGCTTTAGATTTAAGCTTGGCATCAAACTAGCTTTTCATACATATATATATATATATATGCCTGCAGTCATTGTTTATGAAGGTTCTCCACCTGCTTCCACCTTCCTTTTTATACCTTAGTGAAAAGCAAAAGACCCTTTACTTGAGATTCAGAGAATTAATAAACTCAAAAGGTCAATGCCATTAATCAAAATCTTAGAGGCTTAAGTGTGATAGATTCTTGAGTTGCCCTCAAACTCATTAATGGAATAGCACTTGAATATGAAAAATATTTACCATGCAGATGTATTAAGGATGCGATAATTTGAATAAAAATCAATTGAAATATTAAACATCTGTAAAATATATGTAGCTATTTCAGCACCTGTGTGAAAAGCAGGGGTAAAGGTAGGGTTGCAAGTGGACTCCATGTCATGTGACCCATCAAAGAATGTCTCTTGCTCACAACGTATTAAAAAGACCCAATGGGATATATATAATACTAATAACTATGCATGACAAAATTTAAAAGAAAAACACTTCTCATATTTTCATGTTCCTCTGTCTCTATATCTCTGGGAAAAAAAAAAACTCTGTCATCTCTCTCCCTCCCTGCCTCTTTCCTTGGTTTCTTCGTTTTCCTCCTGCGAATTTATAACATCAAGTGTTGCGGGGAATGTTGTCTGATTCGAAGTCATTCATACTAGTCATGTAAGATGTCTTTTTGAATGATTTCGGACCAGGCTTCATTCCCCCCAACTAGGTTGTATTTTCATGTAAAGAGAAACCAGATTTGGGATCAAGACAAGCTGGAACTAGACTTAGAGGTGGAGTTTTCAAAACCCTGATTTTCATGCTTCTTTCTTTCCTCCTCAAATAGTTGTCTCAATGTGAACATTTGACTGCAAAAGTCCGGTCTTCATCCATCTTTCTTGCTTCTTTCTTTTAATATGTTTTTGGGATTATAAAAGTTACTACAACTTCGTGAGTGATGGAGAAAGGGATTAAAGGTGAAACTTTAAATTTACCTCTTTTTTTGGCCTTATATATGAACAGTTATTCACTCGATTGTATATCTACCGGGTGGGGCAGATATAATAACTGATGGTGGGTCAAATTCCATATGAAAAATAAATAACCCCCCCCCCCCCCAAATAAATTTTCCATGTGAGTCTGGTATACACGTGAAGCTCATAATTCTATGGTGGGTCAGATCTGCCGGTGGTTGTCAATTACCAATATGTTGTGCAATTTGTAAAGAACATGCAGATGATGCAGTAGTTAAAGGTTGTAAGAAAATAGACAGTATCAAACGGTTTGTTTGTAGTAAATATAATGTTTTTCGTAAGTTCTGATGATGGAAAATAGGGTTTAACAGACCAGGAACCGAAAGTACTTCCTTTGTTGGATTTGACAGCACTTGAGCGATGGCTATTGGAGATCTACCGGAGCACTCCAATCGACCTTGTCTCTCATCTGCGATGCCATTTTTTCCCATGCCACAACGGAATGCTACTTCGCCATAAGGCCCGTATCACATGTCTTGGAAACTTGATTCTTACAGTTAAAATAACATTCTATTTTATTACTTATCAATGATAGCACTAAATATAATATTCTAAACTATAATCTAATAATTTCCCTAAAATTATTTTTATTGATTTTTATGATTATAATTATTAAATGTTAATTATAATTATTTTAATAATTAAATTTTATAAAAATAGAAATTTAAAACTATTTTATTATAAAAATTTCAAAATCATATGAACTATCATTTCTCGTAAACTATATAAGTAGGAGTGTTTAAACTTCAGTTTTAACCTAATTAATCGATTGAACCGAATTTTTTTTATTAATCAGTCGGTTAATTTTAGATTAGATCGGTTAACGTTAATGATTTTTTCAAACTTCGGTTATTGGTTAATTCAATTTGAAATCGGTTAATTAATTGAATTAACCGAAATTATTAAACATTTAATATATCATGAATATTATTTATATATTACTTAGTCTATGAGTGTTTAAATTTTGGTTTTAATCGAACTAATCAATGGAATTAACCAATAATATTTAATATATAATATATATTATTTATAAATTTCGGTTAATCCAATTAATCGACCGAATTAACTAAATTTTTTTCGTTTCAGTTAATAATTTTTGAAAAAATCGATTCGATTATTGATTAAAAAAAGAATTGAATTAATGAATTTTTGGTAATTTGGTTTGACTAGTTAAACAGACCGACCGATTGAACACTATTTACCCTGGTATATAAGTAGGTTTTTTTCAGATGAATAGAATAAAGCTATTTCCAAAGTGAAACGGTTTAGGCAAAGTCTGACATCACATTCTAAAGCAATAAAAGAAAATGATTAACAACTTTTTGACTTGCTAATCAATGATATTTAGAAAAGCATACAATCACACAAGGCATTGCCATATTAAAAAGAAACTATATATGATTGATTTCCAAGTGTGTATAATAATCTCGTTTGCATCACAAACTCCTTTATCATTGCCCCAGAAAATGCAATAAGCTTAGCTACTGAGACAGACGATTTATGAAGAAGCTCAGGACCATGTCAACAAGTTGGCGATGAAGAGACATCATCATTCATAAAGCCCCATCCAAAAGGACACTTTGTCATATATGTTCTTCCACATGCACCCCTTCCCTAATCATCTATATTTATTAATTAATTAAAATAAAACATTACAAGAATGATATATTTAATTAAATTTATTTTATTTATAATATTGAAATTAAAATCATTAATGTTATTTAAGAAATTTAAAAAAACTTGTTAGATAATTTATTGGTAGATCTATATATAAGGTTGTTTATTTATGTATATTGTTGGGGAAGAAGTGAATGATTGGGATGAGTTAGGCAGAGTATGTCAGCTTCAAGACTCTTTGAACAGGTGGTATTTTTTTTATCACCTTTTAAAATGGATCATACGATTTACTGGTATCAGCTTTGGATAACTTTAACTTGTTATGTTTTATGTTTAGTTGTTCTGGGCTTCTATTTATTGGGTTAATTATCTCCCTCTAATAAAATACAGTGATATATTATACTCATCGAATTATTTTACTTGATCCCTTATCTAAAAGTGGACGATTGAACAAAAAGGTTTTCAAATTTTAATGAATGTAAATGCTGTTTATTGGTTTAAAATCCGTGATGAAATCATATACTCTGTTCTGCTAGGTCATTGTCTTTATTTTACATGAAAGATCACTGCTTGGGAATTGGGGATATCTCATTAAAAATACAATGGAAAAGAATTATTAGCAACGATAGTTACCAAGTAGAGCATTACCTCGATTATATCTCTAAGATAGTTTTGATATCTGCCTTAATTCTGGTTGCAACAATATATTAGTTATAAAGCTCCTGATTCCTTGTTACTTACACTAGATCTGGTTTTTCCATGTCTCAGGCTCATATTTAGTATGTCTGAGCAATTTTCACAACTTAAAAACGTTTTTACAAACTTCATCAAATTCAATATCAGCCTCAGCCTCAGCCTCTCCACCCATTGCTCGAGTTGATTACTTTGATAATTCGGACAACTCTGATGATGCTTCATCAAATGGCTCAGATTTTGCATTTTGAGCTTCAGGTCTTACTTCAGCCAACAACTCTTCTCCCCCCCCCCTGCTAAAGCTCCCCATGTGCTAGTTAAGGATGCTACAACCACAGACTTTACAGGTTAAACTTTATTTCTTGATGCAAATGCAGTTTGCGCTTAGACTTAGCTTCAAATAAACAAATAGTAGATAAGACGAATTGAAAATCTTTTGTTTTAGATTAAAACCTCGCTTTTAGTGAAAAAGATTTTGCCTGGTTTAGCAAATTCATTTCGTTATATCCAATCTTTTTGGTAATAAAATTTGTTATGATTCAAAGTTATTTCATAGTTAATATTTTATGATTGGAGGATGTATCTGTAGTACACCGTATCATTCTTCTTAGTTTCGGAGACCCGTATTGTGCAGGTACTGCAGACAGTGATAAGGAGGGGGCATTTGATGACTACTTCTGATGGATCTTTGTGTTCCCGTTTCTTCATATCTATAGACGACGGATATAAACACAGTTCCAATAGCATTACAGTGTAGGCTGGTAAGACTCAAACCAAATTTATTACATACACCACATACAGGATTTGTATATAGGAGTAAGATTCGTAGGGTTCTTTAGGTCAAATAGTTAGCTAATCTTTTCGAAATGCCTTTTCCCATTAGATCTGCATTAGTTTCATTTGTATCTTCACTAACAGTCGCTATGACTCCAATTGTCTGTAACAAGGCTCGATAAGTTCTAAGACGAGTATATGTCTCGAAATTAAGTTGTCTGCATTAACCATATTATATATTTGTGAATGAATAATGAAATGAACCATATACAATTGAGATGCTTATTGTGCTTCATCATCGCAAGCATTGTGTTGGTTCATGTAGCCATCGTTAAGAGGTTGAATCTAATAGCTTTGTGGTTTGTTTCAGAACATCTGAATTTTTTTTCTTTTGTTCGGACTGCGGCTTCCTTTTTTACCAATAAAAAGAAGGGAAAATGCATTGTTAAAGAAGGTATGGAGGGGGCTGCAAAAATTGACAACCAAAGAAGCATCAGAATCTAGCATGGCATGTTACATGCTTATGTAATATGTAGGCATAGCCATTGATGTACACTTTTACTTTTCTTTTAGAGAAGATATTCTAGGTTGATATTAAGTATCCCCTTGTCTATGTAGAAAGCAAAAACAAAAGCTTAACTGCTGCAAGTGCAAGTTTTATACATTTTTTTTTGCAATAATAAAGAGTTGAAAGTATCTCTTATTATGTATGGATAAATAGCGTTTATGCTTCTTTTCTTTTTGGGCTAAAGGGTCTTAAAAGTCTTTAGTAAAACAATAGAAAAATCAATTGGGTCCTTCTGAAAAAAAGTTGTTCTAACTGGGTTCTATTTACGTATTTTACCAGTTTCTTTTTACATACTCAATCTCTTCTCAGGCACCGCCAATTATCTCAGATCATATTAGTAACAAGGCTCGATAAGTTCTAAGAAGAGTATATGTCTCTAATTGGAGTCATAGGTTAAACCAATGTTATGGTTCGCCCCATTTTACTGTTAAAATTATACAAATAAATAAATCTTACAGCTACACAAATAACAGCACCAGTGGTCTAGTGGTAGAATAGTACCCTGCCACGGTACAGACCCGGGTTCGATTCCCGGCTGGTGCATTTATTTTTTCCCGTGTTGCCTTTTGTGTGTGGCAGCGATGCCAATGAACTTTCTATCAAACCATGAATAAAATTATTCATGCCAACAATAGGGTTCTGTAATTTTATTTTGATGCTAATAATTACATAAATCAATGTTACCTTAGAACCCTTTAATCCCCTTAACATTCCCTATAAGACTACAACTCCATTGCCATTATGAGGATCCTTAAACCTCTTTATTCTTTTCATTCTACAGTCTTTTTCCATGGCACCAACATCTTCCAGAACTGGCACTGGCACCCCTTATGCAAATTTCTGAGACATTACATCTATTCATAAAGTGTTTGGTGCTAGCAATGTCTCCAAACTAATGCTTATAAAGCCCAAACAAGGATTCAAGATCCCCTTCATGGTCGCGTTGCTCATATTTTCACCTTACAGCAACAGGTTACAAGCCTTTTCATAGCTAAGTATCCACATACCATTATGCAACCATTTTCTAATCCTTGATTCCATGTGTAGGTGGAATCTCTGCAAGCCAAAGCTCAGCTAGCTTCAAATGCTACGAGTTCACCTAACATGAACTTCAACTCATGAATATGCAAGAAAATACCATGTACTACTTTCATCCCCCCCCCCACCAAGAACGATGTATATGCATCATACAAACAACTCTTCTCAAGACAACTAATTAATATTAACTTTATGATCAGCTTATAATGTTGCCATCTTTGCCTCTTTGTTTATTCATTTTTTCTTTTAATTACGACTTGGGATTCAACTCTCGTCACCCACCTTATAATTGGTGCAATTAAATTAATTACTGGGTGTTGTTTAATTAATTAATTTTATCTCTTGAAATAGCTGAAATGATAGTTTACTTGAGAGTGACTAACTTTACTTTCTGATATTTTCCCGATCGACCCACAAGTATAAAACAAATTCGTTTGATAATCTGCAAATTCATTAACCCACTTCTTTCATTGACAGTGAAAAACATTGATTTTTAAGGATAAAATTAACTTAATTTATCACGCAATCACACAGTATCTCAAAATTAAATATTTATTTCTCCTTTATATCTTTTGTTGATTAAAATTAATGAATTTAAGTTATTACTGTGATCTAAGAATCAGTCTCGTTTTTCAATTCATATTTTCCTCCATTCAGCTTTTCTTTCTTTTCCCTTTTTCTCTTTATCATCTCCATTTTGTTTTATTGCAGATATGAGCTTTTTGTTTAATAACTCTTCCGTTTTTTTAATGAAGATAGTGAATTTTTTATGCTATTGCATCACATGTTAGTATTTGTTTTTTGCAAGTTTTTTTCTTCTTCTTTGTCCAAGGTTAGATTTATCTTTGCTTCTCTAAATTGTGATTATTTCACTATCTTATTAATTTACTCCTGCTTTAGACTCTTGGGCTAGTTCTCTCATCTTTATAGTTGTTACCATCATATTATTTGATTATTATATATTATTTGATAATAATTTTTATTTGCATATTTTATTTTATCGAATTGTTTGATTATTATTTTTTTTATTAAGTTAAAGGTGATTACAAAGTAGTATATGTTTTAAGTACTCTCAATCATTTGACAATGAACGCTCAATCACTCTTACAGTCACTGTTGCTCGAACATGTGACTTCTAAAAATAACTACAATTCTTTTAACTACTGAGATAAGTTGATTTAAGTTGTTTGGTTAAATTTTTAACACTATCTTTTATATGATTCTATTGTATGAAATGAACAAATTATATTTAAAAGAATATAAATCAAGCTGGTTGAATTTTAGTTGGCTCGCACTAGTTGGAGGTGGAAATTTTAAGTTCAAATGTCCTTAAATTGAAGATGTGAAAAACTGTCTATCATATCAACTGTAAATTTGTATAAATATATATTATATAAAATGTTCTATTTCTTTTATATCATAAATGCAAACATAATTTAGTTTAGAATTAAAAATATATAAAATATGATTAAAAACCCTTCAACACATGTTGTGGTGGCAAGCAAAAATGGTGGATCAGCGCCAAAGTTAGGTTCCTAGGGATCATAATCCTGCATATTTTAATTAAAAATCTTGGATTAAATATAATTTTTTTATTCTGAAAATAGCATTTTAGTTAACCTTAATTCAATGGTACCAATAAATATCCAATAACCTGCTCCAAAGCTGCAAAATGTTGAGTGCATATTTTAATAACAATGTTTATGAAGGGATCGAAAGTGGGTTGAAAAGGAGGCAGTTAACCGTAATTTAGTATGTCCATAGCCTCAGAATTTGCTCAACCACAACCGGTTTTGTCAGAGAGAAGAAATACACTTATTATTCTACCAAAATCCAATATCATGAAAGGTTACACTGGAGAAGAAGGATTTTAGGGTTTCTGAACGTTGTATCGACATTAATTTTTTAGGGTTTTTAATCATGGATTTAAATAATGATTCGTTAATCATAATAGCGGTATCAATGTTATTCGAAACTGTTATTGCATGATTATGTTAACTGCATTGATTGCAATAGCATATGTTATGTTCGTAATCGCAAAACGTAACTTAACGAAAACAAAAGTGCATGTATGATGTGTTTTAAAATATGAAGTCATGAATGGTGAGCATAGCCAAAGGCAATGGGTTGAAGGTTATCGGCATCCTCGAAACTCCATTGTCCAAATGAAGACATGGAACAAGGAGCCTCCCCGTCAAAAGCAGTAAACGAGGATCGATCCGATGAACTTTCATAGTTCCCTAAAGAAGTCGGATCCAAAAACCTATTCTCACAGTACGAATATGCGGTGGAATGATTCGGGTGACTCGGGTTAAAGTTCGATTGTGCCATGGTTGAATCATGTGGATGAAACCAGCTTTGAACATCATCATGTAGCTGCTGAGAAGGAAGATTTCCATAGTTGTTTTCATTAGGGTTTGCAGTAACAGAGCCATTAAAAGTACTGCTCTGAGCTGCTTGTTCCTTGAGAGAAGCAAGCTGTGCTTGTAGATTGACAACCTGTAGGAAATGATTGATTAGATCTCTCTATCTGGAACTCAAATTAGGGTTTCACATGAAACAAAGCCAAGGCAAAAAAAAAACCTGTTGTTGGAGGGCAAAGATATGAGAAACGCAGCCATAAATGGGGTCTTGAAGCCTAGCTTGAGCTTCATAGGAGATAGTGACGGCAGCTTCAGAACGTTCACTGACGGGGAGGTGAGCAAGGAGCTTAGAGACATTGCTTGCACCAAAAACCTTGTGGATGGAAGCAAAATGGGCAGCACCTTGTTCACGGCAGAAATAAGGCGCAAAAACACAGCCTTTAACGCATTTTCTTCTCAGGAACTTGCAGGCACCACAAGGGGAACCAGAACCAGTCATATTGATCTCTTCTTTTATGGGGTACTTTTAGTGGTAGAGAGAGAGAAGACGTTTTGAGGTAAGCATTATCAGCAAAAAGGGGATTATAAACACTGGAGGAAGATGGAGGTGGAACATTTAATAACGACAACTGGTCCCCTTATTGGCCTACAGATGTCATATTTTCATTACTATTATTCTTTTTCCTTTTCATCTTTGCGCATTGCTCTCTCGTTCTAGTTTATTAATTGTTCTCTCAAATCATATTCCATTTCGTTTCTTTCATCCTTATACGACAAAAGTGCTGGCATGTAACCATTTCCTTTTTGTTTCATGTTTAATTATATATTCTATTTACTACCACTTCTTTCCCATATATATACAATACATGTATGTGTATCAATGAGAGTGATAACCGCAATTAGGGATGGATTGAGAGGTAGTCCGATGATTGTTTTATAAAAAAATAATTTTTTTTATGTTTTAAATATTCTATAATATTTTTATTAATAATTTATTTTTATTTTTATTTTTATAAATTTTATAAATTTATCTTTCATAAAACATTATAAAATCTAACTTCAACTACTTCATGAATTCAAAGCCTTTTATGTTCTTGGTAATTTATATTGCTGACCCTATTTCATGTATTTATAGCCTTCTGTTAATAAATGTAGATATTTTTTCTTATTGGTGTCTTGGATTGAGTTGGTCTTGATACATATACAAGGGAGTTGTGTAACACCCTTAACTCGTATACATCTCGATGTACGAGTTAAATATGTCACATCAACTTAAAATTTTTTTATTTTAAATAAATTTATATATTTTTTGATACTTTATTTATTTGTTCTCACCTTTAGTATTACTGTCTCACTAAGTTATACTTAGCGCGTGATGATTTTCATGCGTATGGTCTGATTTAGATACAGACGTTTTACTATGAGCTTTCCAAACATCATGTGCATATCATCTATAATACCAGTATCAGTAAGACATCATTGAAGTTTCTTTTGACTAGTAGTGACATTTATAATTATGTCAGTAGTTTCTATTTATCGTATTTATTTTAAATAATTTGTAATAGTAAACTAGAACTATTTTAGTTTATTTTACTTAGTTTAGTTTTATCAATATCTTTGCATGAAAATATTACATTACATTATTATGTTTTTAAAAGATTTCACGAAAAGACATGGTTTAGGAAAATTACTGATTAACAAATGAATTTATTTTTCTGTGATAAAGAAATAAATTATAGTTGATATATACTTTAAAATATATTTCTAAAGTTAGAATAAGATTGTTTTTAAAAAGCTCACTGTATGTTATATGGAGAGTCATGGGTACAATTGGCATGCCATGAGGTGGAGTGATTATTTGTTCTGATTCTCATATACTGTGGTGTACCAGAGTGTACACTAGTATATATATTCTGATCTGAATGCACTTTGTGTGCATATTGTTATTTCTGATATGATAGCACTATGTCTGCTTATCTGTTTTGATTCTGATGATGGCACTGAGATCTGTATTGCGCACACAAATAAGCACACACAGTGCTATCATATCGGAAATAACAATATGCACACAAAGTGCATTCAAATCAGAATATATATACTAGTGTACACTCTGGTACACCACAATATATGAGAATCAAAACAAATAATCACTCCACCTCATGGCATGCCAATTGTACCTATGACTCTCCATATAACATACAATGAGCTTTTTAGTTTATTTCGTAATCATTTGATAAAAATCATATCAGAATCAGAAATATAATTAATTCACATTCGTAAAATGTGACATTGGCATTTCATACCCAAAATCATTCATAAAACTTATTAAAATATTATGGATATAATTCTATAATCAAAACATAATTCATATATTTGAAATAAACAAGGTGAGGTTGACTTATCGCAAGTCGTCCTCAATCAAAATAATAAAATAAATAAATTACACTCACTTTTGCCTCACTACAGAAATTTTATACAATAGTCATAGTCACGAGCTTTTTCCTTTCCTTTCGGATCATTCGAATTTCTAGATTTATCGTAGTCTAACAATACCAAATTATAACACAAAATGTTCGAACTACATATTAGTATTGTACTAGCATAAGCTGATTTTAACATTCGAAAATATATAAAAATCTAAATTAAATCGATATCAACTAAATCACATTTCCATTATAATTTCCAACTTCTCAAAAATACTCTTCCAAATTCATGAATATTTAATTTTCATTTTTAACCCTTCATCTTTGCTAAATTACACAAATAAGCCATAAATTGTGAATTCTTTTTAGAATTCACCTCAACCTTTCCATTTAATTCATAATGGTCCTTCACCATTATGATCATTGTATATTAATTACTAAAATTTCAGCACTTGAATAAAATACCCAAATCAAATCTTCAATATTCAAAACATTATAAATTTCAACCCAAACTTTCCTAAACTTTCGATTTTCAACATTTAACTTTATAAATTTGTAATTCAACCTCAACTCAATATTTAATTCAAAATTCAGCATACTAATAAATTTTTCAGCATCCAATAATTTACTCAAATAATACTTCTACATTTAAGAACTTGCAAACAAGTCCCCAATATTTACAAGACCCTTCGAATTCCACCATCTAACCATTAAAATAAATTCTTTTAGAATTCTTCTCAACATTTCCAATTTATTCAAAATGGTCTCTTTCCATTAAAATTCAATTCCAAGAATCCAAAAATATACTCAAACATTTAAACATTACTCTTCAGCTTCTAATCCATTTCCACTTAAATTCTAAAATTTCCATATTCAATATTCAGACAACTCGCACTACCTTTAAAGAATCAATATTCTGTATTGATATACACACTGGAATTTAATTCTGTTTCTTCCGTTGAAAACTAGACTCGAATACGAATCTATCCATAAAAAATAACTCCTTCTAATTCATTTTGTACAATTTATGGTGAATTTTCAAATTTAACTGACAGAATCTGTTGCCCCGTTTTTTCTGACATTTTCTCGGTTAAAAATTCATATATTTTTGTATTTACCTTGAAATTAATCCCCGTTTGTTTTAAACAAAACTATATTCACATACGAACACAAATATATAAAAATCACCTCCAAATAATTTTTATATAATTTCTGGTGAATTTTCAAACTCATTGTCAGATTCAAAATCTAAACTGTTTTTCATTAATTTGCATCCTTAGGTTCTTCATAAATTCTTACAACACTTCTAATATCAAGAATCGATCTTTAATCATAAAAAATCTCACTTCCCCTTCATCAATATATTACCAACTTGAGCATGAAACATGAAGTTTTTTATGCCAAATGAAAGAGAATTTCATGTAGGTTATATTATCCTAAATAACCTAACTTAAAATCCTAGTAAAAATTGACCAAAAACTAGAAAAACTTGGTTACCTTGGCTATGGAGTTTCGTCCAGTTTCTGGAGAAAAGAAGAGTGTTTCACGAGAATTCTAAAAAATCTTCAATTATTAACTTTTAAAACTATTCATTGATGATTTTTTATTATTTTGGGCCAAATACCAAAACTACCCTTAATGAATTCCAAAAATTACACCCATGCCACTCCTTCATCTCTATTTTAATAGTATTAAAAAGCAGTAAAATACTCCTCTCTCAAAATTTCTTTTTGACCCTCCAATTTTTCTCAAATTTCATTTTAGTCACTTAATTACACTATTTAAATTTATAGTGCAATTCTCACCAAATTACACTAATCCAACTTAAATTCCACTAATTAAAAATATATATACAAATTTTCCAACCCAAGTCTACCTTCCTTCAAATTTTTGTAATCTTCCGATTCGATCCGGTTATTCGAATAATATACCGATCTTTGTCCTTTAATAAACTTGTATGCAAACTCCATATCAAAAATTCTGAAACCCACTAAACTAATTGTCTTGAGCTAAACTACCAATTCACAAATCCAACAATTTAACTTTTGAAAATTTACATTTTTAATCCTTAAACTTTTACAACTTTACACTTTAGTCTCTAAACTTTAAAAATTACATTTCAGTCACCATTTCAAATTTTGGGATATTACAAGTTGTTAGTAAAACTTTCTTTTAATAATCTGATATGATTATAAAGTAATATTTATTCATACTTTTTCTTAATTATTAACAACATACATCCTATACACACAGTTATTCTAACCATAACTTTAAAGAGGAACAATAATCTTTTTAACCATTAAAAGTCATTTGATGAATTTAATAAACCTCGATTTGTACGAGAGAACAGATGTCAAATTTATTGTCCAAATCTTAGGCAAATAAATATGTTTATATTGGCAGTTTAACTTAACCTTGATATTTAACATGTGGAACGGTGATTACTTTTAGTTATAGGGTTATTTCATTAATCGAGGTCTAAAATTTGCAGATAGAGGATGCATGCGTGGCTCATTATTAGGCAAATCAAAGGAATTGGTAGCTGAGCCCTCGTGAAGCACATAATATATACGGCCCAATTAAATAATAATACCTTAGGATTAAATTAATTGTCTCATTTGGATAACTTGAGAGATTTGATAAGAGGTCCCAGCCCTATTGTATTGCTATTCAAGGTATGAACATGCAATCTATATGGTTGAAAATAATGCCCATCCTTCTTCCTTGATTTACTATATGTAATCCACCTGAAAGTGAACTTCAAAATAAATAATTAAGCAAATCCCTATGATTACAATAAATTGTTAGGTTAAAATCATACGTTATTTACATTTAATTTTAAAATTTTATAGGTTTACGCTAGGTCGAAATTATTTTTATTTTAACTCAAAATACTTAATTCTATTATTATACTTTTAGATCATTTTGAATTATAATAATTATATTTTGAGTTATTTTGAGTTCGAATTTATTTGACTTATGCAAATTCATAATTTTAGGTTGAACGTGTCTAACTTCTTATTTTTTTTAATAATCAAATTAAGTGATTCAATTTTGTTTTCTCAAATTAATTGGATCAAATTTTTGGTAAAGGTTTAACAGATTAAATATGTGATTTTTATATAAATAAAATACATCAATAATCAAACAAACAAAGCTGTATTGTAAA